TCCCACATGTGTTGGGTCTGTCTGAGCTGGAGTTCATTTTCTCACTGCAGCCGTCACAGTGCTGTGCTTTGCATTGGGAGCTACAAGGGGGTTAATCACACCAGTGCTTTGGCAACTGCTGAGCAGGGCTGGCACAGCATCTGCATTGTCAGCTTCCTCCCTTGAATCGGGGGCAAGCTCATGAGAGGGGATACAGTCTGGCCAGTTGAGCCAAATGGACCAAAGAGACATTGCTACAAAAGCTCAGGAAAGGAACAAGAAAGGGGGAAATCAATTTTTTTGCAATATTTGCCTTCTGAACGGCCTCTCTGTGTGGTGAATCCCTGCTTCCCGTGAAGTGACCAGGCATGGCTGCTGAAGGGAAGTAGAGAATAAATCTCTTTATTTTCCTCTTCAATTATGCATGCACAAACTTTGGCTTTTGCTTTAGTAAAGTGCCTGATCTCAAGGTAGAAGTTATTTTCCATCTTCTTCTGTCTCTCCTGTCTGGCTGGGAAGGGCAGCGACAGAGCGGTTTGGTGGGCACCTGGCATCCAGACAATGTCAACCCAGTGCAAAATGGCAGGGTCTCATGGAACCAAAGGACTGCTGGGACACTGGGGGAACTCACGGAATCAAGCGACCGTCATGACTCTGCCCTGCATCACGGAAGTAAATATTCCCTGGGAAAGTACAGAAACCCAGGGAATTAAGGGAACGTCACTGGGATGTGCGGGACCTCAAGGAATTAAACAAACTCTGGGATATCTTTGAAACTTCATGGAATCAAAGGGATAAAACAAAAGAATTAAACCCAATGACCAGAAACCATTGGTTTGAACATTTCTTTAATATGCCAGTGGGGATTCATGGGGGTGCTCTGCCATGCATGAATCAAAGAATCAGTATAACTTTTGGAATATAAATACAGTGATACTTGAAAGACCCCCCTTCACAAGCAGCCCATACTTAAGATTTTGGGGTCAAATAGCATCTGGGTTTGCATTCGTGGATGCCAGCACAGAAAGCTCTTGCTCCCCAGGGAGTCTCCAGGCTGACAAACCAACTGCACCACAAAGCCAAAGCTTTTAGGCTTTCTTGCCTGGGACTAAGGGCTGTTGTTTCCTGTTTTCAGACGTGCCTCACAACACACAGCCCGACCCCCAGAATTGCACACAAAGAGAGATTCCTCCCACACCAAAGATGCCAGCACAGAGATGTCTTGCTGCTCATGGACACCTCACGCTGAAAAACCAACTGCACCCCAAAGCCAAAACTTGCTGCCTTTCTTTCCTGGCGATAAGGGCTGTCGTTTCCTGTTTTCAGTCGTGCCTCAAAACTGACAGCCCGACTCCAAAAACTGCATATAAACAAAGACTCGTCCCGCACCAAAGAGGCCAGCACAGAAAACTCTTGCTCCCCATGGAGTCTCCAGGCTGACAAACCAACTGCGCCACAAAGACAAAGTTTGCTGGCTTTCTTTCCTGGTGATAATTGCTGTCATTTCCTGTTTTCAGACTTGCCTCTGAACTGCCAGACCGACGCGTAAAATTGCGTATAAACAAAGATTCCTCCCACACCAAAGGTGATAGCACAGAAATCTCTTGCTGCTCATGGACTCCCTAGGCTGACAAATCAACTACACCACAAAGCCAAAGCTTGCTGGCTTTCTTTCCTGGTGATAAGGGCTGGCATTTCCTCTTTTCAGACCTGCGTCCCTACTGCCAGATTGACTCCCAAAATTGCATATGAAGGAAGATTCCTCCCACAGCAAACATGTAAGCAGAGAACATCTTGCTGCCCATGGAGTCTCCACGCTGCAAACCAACTCCACCTCAAAGCCGAAGATTGCTGCCTTTCTTTCTTGGCGATAAGGGCTATTGTTTCCTGTTTTCAGCCCTGCCTCCCAACTGACAGCCAGACTCCCAAAATTGCATACAAAGACTCCTCGCACAACAAAGATGTCAACCCAGAAAGCTCTTGCTCCCCGTGGAGTTTCCACGCCGACAAACTAATTGCACCACAAAGCCAAAGCTTCAAGGCTTCCTTTCCTGACGATAAGGGCTCTCATTTCCCTTTTCCAGCGCTGCGTTGAAATTGCCAGCCCGACCCCCAAAATTGCATACGGACGAGGATTCCTCCAACACGAAAGATGCCATCCTGGAAACTCTTGCTGCCCATGAAGTATCCAGGTTGACAAACCAACAGCACCACAAAGCCAAAGCTTGCTGGTTTTCTTTCCTGTCCATAAGGGCTGTCATTTCCTGTTTTCAGAACTGCCTCCCAACTGCCAGACCGACTCGCAAAATTGCATATAAACAAAGATACCTCCCATAGCAATGATGCCAGCACAGGAAGCTCTTGCTCCCCAGGGAGTCTCCAGGCTGACAAACCAACTGCACCACAAAGCCAAAGCTTCCAGGCTTTCTGTCCTGTCCATAAGGGCTGTCATTTCCTGTTTTCAGCGCTGCGTCAAAATTCTCAGCCCGACTCCCAAAATTGCATACGGATGAAGATTCTTCCCACACTAAAGGTCCTGGCACAGGAAGCTCTTGCTCCCCATGGAGTGTCCAGGCTGACAAACCAACTGCACCACAAAGCCAAAGGTTTTAGGCTTTCTTGCCTGGGGAAAAGGGCTGTCATTTCCTGTTTTCAGCCCTACCTCTTAACTGACATATGGACCCCCAAACCAACTGCCTACGAACAGAGATTCCTCGCACACCAAAGATGCCAAGGGGGAGCAAGAGCTTTCTGTGCTGGCATCATTGCTATGGGAGATATCTTTGTTTATATGCAATTTTGCGAGTCGGTCTGGCAGTTGGGAGGCAGGGCTGAAAACAGGAAACAATAGCCCTTATGGACAGGAAAGAAAGCCAGCAAGCTTTACCTTTGGGGTGCTGTTGGTTTGTCAACCTTAAACTCCATGGGCAGCAAGAGTTTCCAGGATGGCATCTTTAGTGTTGGAGGAATCCTCGTCCGTATGCAATTTTGAGGGTCAGGCTGGCAATTTCGAAGCAGCGCTGGAAACAGGAAATGACAGCCCTTATCGACAGGAAAGAAAGCCAGCAAGCTTCGGCTTTGTGGTGTAGTTGATTTGTCAGCCTAGGGAGTCCATGAGCAGCAAGAGATTTCTGTGCTATCACCTTTGGTGTGGGAGGAATCCTTGTTTATATGCAATTTTAGGCGTCGGTCTGGCAGTTGGGAGGCAAGTCTGAAAACAGGAAATGACCGCAATTATCACCAGGAAAGAAAGCCAGCAAACTTTGTTTTTGTGGTGCAGTTGGTTTGTCAGCCTGGAGACTCCATGGGGAGCAAAATATTTCTCTGGTGGCATCTGAGCTGTGAGAGGAGTCTTTTTATGCAATTCTGGGAATCGGTCTGTCAGTTGGGAGGCAGGGCTGAAAACAGGAAACAACAGCCCTTATCGGCAGGAAAGAAAGCCTGGAAGCTCTGGCTTTGTGGTGCAGCTGGTGTGTCATTCTGGGCACTCCATCGTCAGCAAGAGCTTTCTGTGCTGGCATCTTTGGTGTGGGAGGAATCTTCATCCATATGCAGTTTTGGGCGTCGGGCTGGCAATTTGGAGGCAGGTCTCAAAACAGGAAATGAGAGCCCTTACTGCCAGGAAAGAAAGGCAGCAAGCTTTGTCTTTGTGGTGCAGTTGGTTTGTCAGCCTGGAGACTCCCTGGGGAGCAAGAGTTTTCTGTGCTGGCCTCTTTGGTGTGGGAGGAGTCTTTGTTTATATGCAGTTTTTGGAGTCGGGCTGTCAGTTGTGAGGCACGACTGAAAACAGGAAACGACAGCCCATATCCCCAGGCAAGAAAGCCTGCAAATTTTGGCTTTGTGGTGCAGTTGGTTTGTCAGCCTGGAGACTCCATGGGGAACAAGAGCTTTCTGTACTGGCACCTTAGCTGTGTGATGAATCTTTGTTTGTATGCAATTTTGGGGGTCGATATGTCAGTTAAGAGGTAGGGCTGAAAACAGGAAATGGCAGCCCTTATCGCCAGGAAAGAAAACCTAAAAGCTTTGGCTTTGTGGTGCAGTTGGTTTTTCACCCTGGACACTCCCTGGGGAGCAAGAGCTTTCTGTGCTGGCATCTTTGGTGTGGGAGGAATCTTTGTCCGTATGCAATTTTGGGAGTCGGTCTGGCAGTTGGGAGGCAGCGCTGAAAACAGGAAACAATAGCCCTTATCGCCAGGAAAGAAAGCCAGCAATCTTCGGCTTTGTCGTGGAGTTGGTTTGTCAACCTGGGGAGTCCAGGAGCAGCAAAAGATTTCTGTGCCGGCACCTTTGGTGTGGGAGGAGTCCTTGTTTATATGCAATTTTAGGAGTCGGTCTGGCAGTTGGGAGGCAGTTCTGAAAACAGGAAATGACAACCCTTATCGGCAGGAAAGAAAGCCTGGAAGCTGTGGCTTTGTGGTTGGTTTGTCAACCTGGGGACTCCTTGAACAGTGAGAGCTTTCTGTGCAGAAATGCTACGAGGCCTGATTAGCGAGAAGACCACTCTCCGAACATGACTGCCCCCCCCCCGAAGAAATGGACGCTAGATGGCAGTCTTGCTGCACTAATAAAACCCAAGATGCTATATGACATCAAAATCATAACCTAATTCTTCACTGCTGTTGAAGGGGGCGGGGTCTTTCAAGCGTCACTGTATTTATATTCCAAAATTTATAGCAGATCTTTGATCCACGCATGGCAGAGTACCCCATGTATCCCCAGCTGACATATTAAAGAAATGTTCGATCCAATGGTTTCTGGTCATTGGGTTTAATTCTTTTTTTCCCCCCTTTGATTCCATGAAACTGCAAAGATATCTTAGGTTTGTTTAATACCATGAAGTTTAAACAACTCCAAAGAAACAGATGAAAAATTTCAGTTGGTGGCATCTTTGAAGCCACTCAAGATAACTTACATTAGCTATAAATATTTACAAGTCAAACTCATACAACTACCTGCATTTTCAAAACATGGAAAGCTAGAAAATCAATTCTAAAGTTATTTAAAATCAAAGAGATCAAAACTGATTTGCATTACTTAATATTTATTGATACAAAGGAAAAAATAATTTGCAACAAGCTATGTATTTACTATTTACACAGAAGAAAGATCTTTAAGATCAATGAAACAACCTGCCCCTAAAACTGGAGTGTCAGATGAAAACCTTCAGTGTTCTTCAGAATTCCTTTGCATTATATGATCTTCAATTTGCAGGTAAAATTATGGGGAAGAGGTATCCAACAATGTATTTCTTGCTTTTGGTCTAAATTATAAAAAGAACAGAAATTCGTTCAAATGAACACAGTTAAAAATAGGCCTATCTGTGCCATAATAGTGGGGAATTACCAGACAGTAAAGTGAACAACAGCAAATTGTACTCACAGCAGCAAGGACATCAGAGCATTCACCTACTTCGGTGCCAAATCAATAAAAATATTAGTATAATTTCAATTATGCTCAAAAGAGCACATTAGCCTAATTTAATTTAACTAACAGTGGTCTCTGACAAATGTGTTCATCTGTGCAAAATTTGAAGCTGTCAAAATCACACCTGGTTGTGGCATTGACACTTGCTCTGCATGTATTTTCTTATGCTATTTCTAATTCAAAAAGCTGTATTCTGTGAAGGACTTAGAGGCCTCAGTATTTAGCGTGCATGTGAGTTTCATGTTATTTTTATAGAAATCTTGTGTGTATTTTAATTCATTTAAACTCAGGTTTACCCAAACGGTCCCCAATCTCTGGTCCACAGTCCCAAAGGTCACGCAAAACTGCTTACAGTCGGGAAAATATCCAAGAATTAAAACTGTTGCTGAGAGAATAACAACGTCTGATGCAACTCACCCCACCAAGTCACAGCTGAGGACTGCTACTCCACATGTAGAATTATATGGGAAAAGCAGCCACTTGATAGCCTGGACTGCACAAGATGCCAAATTTCAAGTTGGTTTAAAGCCCGCACAGAATGAAGACTGCTGTTAAAAATTTTAAGTGGAAATAACACTATCAAAATACATTTTTGTAAAATGTTACGTGCAGAAGATTGTTAGCTAATTCGCCCAAACTGAGCAGTGGACTTCTCATCAAATCCAGGTATGTGTCTGCCTTAGAGAGACTCCTCAGGGCAAAGACCAGAAAGGGGAAGTCAAAGCTGACAGCTGCAGCAACAACTCAGCATGCACCTTTTGTCCTTTACTGTGAAGAAATGGATAGCAGTGGCCATTCACCAGCAGCCAAGCGCTCTGGCACACCCCACACGGATGGCCTGCTGTGCAACATGGAAAAGGCTACTTTCCAGTTGAGGTGTAAAGCATCAGGGTCTTCCCAGCACAAGCATGAACTATACTTCTAGAAGAGCAGCTTCCACAGCATGGGAGTCTCCGACTTCACAGGATGGCTGAGATCGGAGAGAAGCTCTGGAAGGCATTTGGTCCAACACTTTGCTCAAGCAGGACCACCTGTATCCAGTTGCACTGGATACAGGTAAGCTCTCTTTTGCCACATACGAGCTTCTGTCTCCTGATCTTTTCTGTACCTCTTGACCTCTCCACAGCTACCACAACAGTGAGGATGCCAAGTGTGTACACAAATACTCTAACATGCTTTAGAAATACACACTCCCACCCATGGCAGTGGGTAAGACAGAACAGAGATAAAAGGTTCTGAACTATGTAGACAGAGCAGTTCCACATGGAAGGATATATCAAATAAGCTTGGCAGGTCTCAGCTCCATCTCCAAGAGAAGTGTATGAAGCTGATCCAGAGGGGCCACCCAAGCTTTGCAGCTCATTCAGTCTAGACTCCCTCTTAGACACCGCAGAAACATCAAAGCCCAGGAAGATTACTTTGTCCTGGCATTTACCAGAATAGTCAAGCAGCAACAGGGTGTGAGAGGGCACTTACATCCACAGCACTTACATCTGCAGCAGTGGGCATGTGCTGCCATGCTAGACCTCTGTGCCAAAACCAGCTGGTGCCAAACTGCATTCCCACTGGCAAGAGGAATGAAGATGTAAGAGCAGGTGAATGCCTGGACTAGCCGGCCAGTACAAAATCAGGGTATGGCATGGTGCCTAAGTGATGGCCCTATACCTTCCCACTCTCTATTCCATCTCTCTTTCAGTCACTAAGTTTGGTTTTGATTCCCAGCACGCTAATTCAGTCTCAACCACCTCCAACAAATTGGTTTTAGACACATGTACTCACCTGGAGGAACATAGAAGGAGTCTCCTGTACTCAGATAATATGATGTCTTATGTAATGTAACAATAATTTTGCCACGGATAATATGGAAAGCCTTAATGAAAGCCAAAGGATTCTAAGATTAGCAATGCTTCCTTTGCAAACATTTCAGAAAGTTATCCAAGAAAACATTTGCACACATGTTGTAACAAAGATAAAAACCTGTCATGGTTTGAGATAGTCCCAAAATCCAATTCCCTAGTTCCATCCCCCTCCCACATCTCAACCTAATGTGAGATGGGCTTTTCCAGACAAAACACGCCAGACTCAAAGTGGGGGAAAGGGAATATATTACAATGACTGTACAAATAAATATCATATCACATTATACACACGATCATAACTATCTCTACCATGACATATAGTATTTACAATGGATCAGATCTCCTCTCCCCTCCAAATAAAAGTCCAGGAGGGAAAGAAGGACAGATCCCTTCCAGTCCTTAAGCAGCAGCATCTTCTAAGGCAGCAGGTTCTGTCTGTCTTCTCCACATGCAGCAGCTGATAGCTGGCTTTCTGCCAGCACTCATGAGGGAGATATCCAAGCTCACTCCCTCGGCCCCCTTGATGCAGGTAAAGGGGTCTTCCGTGGGCTTCGTAACCCCAGACAAGGTCATTTCACCACGTGATATCACGAAGACACAGGGGGGTCTTCGTGACGGTCTGGTATCTCTTGCAGGAGACTCAGCTCCTTGCTTGCAGGGCCTCTGTGCCCTGTCTCTCAGGCTGTCACCGTGGCAGCAGTGTGAGGGGGGGGAGCCAAGGTCAACTCCCCCCGCATTCCATCTGGCCGTCCTGGTCCAACTCCGGGACGTCTCTGAGCTTCTCAGCTCCTCTCTCTCTAGTGCTGCATGTCCAAAACTGCTCTCCAAAACAGGAGTCCTTGTCCCTCTTCTCCAAGAGGGGTCTCAAGGGAGTTTTGGGGGGCTGGTACAGTCTTACCCCAAACTCTGTCTCTCTGCTGGCTCTCTTTTTCCCGGCTCTCCTTCCAGGAGTCCTTTCTCTGGTGCTGCATGTTGCTTCTGCTGCTCCTTCAGTTCAGGTTCTTATCTCTGGCTCTCTGCCACCGTTTCTCTGGTCAGTGTCGGCTGCTGCTCTGTGACCATGGAGAAAACATCTCCCGGCATAACTACAGGCACCTAGCCCAGCTTTATGCTGTTCCAGGTCCCCGCAGCCCCCCAGCCAGGGGCTGGGAGGCCCACAGAGCCCAAGGGGCTTAGAGCCCCTTCCTCGTGGCTCTACAACATGGCCACCTCTCCTAAACAACCAAACTTACAACTCTCCTCTTCCGGTGTGGTTGTGGTATGTTTACATTTTTGCAGGCGCGCCCATTGGGCAGAACTTCAAAACTTCCAAGGGTTTCCACCCCTTGGGGTCTACCACTTTTCTTAGCCTCTGGGGGAAAACAAGATTCAAACCATGACAAAACCAAAATAAGCTGGCAGAACTGCAATCCCTTTTTTCCCCCACACTGCTGAAAAATAAGATGCACACCTCAAAAGGGGGATGGGGTCATCTTATTTATTTGATACTTCTGTCTTGCCTGCAAGATCTACACAGTAAGTGCACATAGACATAAAGATTTAGTATGACACAGAGGGCAATGTTCATGCAAAGTACCTCTAGCAAATGATTCATTAACATTCATGTGCATTAAGGGAGGGAAAGCCCCTGGAAAACCCATCAGCTTCATATGTTACTTCCAACCACACTAAGATCTCCTGTTTACACAGTCAGTTTTATAAAAATAAGAAAAAAGCACACTTACTATTGTATCCATGTGGACAAACTGGTGTCCCTTTTCCTTAAGTGGTTTCAAAATCAATTTACCAGTTGCAAAAACAGATGTATTCAGATTTTTGTATATTTCTACCGCTTCGTCTTTGAAGGAGCAAGCGTGACTGCTTTCAGTGTTAACACATTCTACAGAAAAGTCCAGGAGATTAGCATTAATGCTCTCATATAATTAGTCTTGTTATTTGCTCAATGCATTACATATTGTTTTAGTGCAACACCTTCAAAAGCTATATTCAATATTTAGCTGAAAAATCAAGACACTTTTTGTTTTCCTCAGAACTTTCTCCAGAAGAGCAATGACTATTTCAATAGTTTACCTTTTTATGCCCAATGTGGCATGAACAATTTTTTTCTTATCATTCTAAACACAGCTTATATAATTCACAAAGTCCCTTGGCCACATCCTTCAACTCACCTAGAACTACCTCCTCATTTGTTTCTGGGTCCAGTACAACGGTTGGCTTAGAAGTATCAGCTAGGTTGTGATCCAAACTTGCAGGTATCTCTCTTCTATCTGAGGAAACAAAGAAACCAAAACAAAATCAGAGAAATTATCACCATGCATTTTAAAAACTTATTGAACTACAACTTTTTCACAATTCTAATGTCACATGTTAAGTACTTAAACTTGTTTTAATAAGTGAACTAAACAGACTGAATACACTTCATTTAAATAAAAGGAAACCATCCGTAACAATTCCTTGAAAATGTAAGTTTCATTGAAATCATTTCTGTGTGTAATAGATGAAGGCTCTCTAAATCCTAAGAAACTTGCCAGGGGAATGCCAACTATTTATCCTGTGCTATTAACAACAGTATTTATTCAGAAGTATCTGTATTTTCAGAGAAGTGCTTTTCTAGCAACAGATGCTGAGAGGATATAAAATACAGGATGAAGACTAAGTTTTTTTGCTTTTACCTATTGCTGATAAAGGAGATTTAAGAGATAAAGCATTCTAAAGACTAAGTGCATGTCCAATTTTCCTTTTCTCAAGAAATACCATTACAGGAATCTCACTGTATGTTGTAAATCTGAGAACTATTTCTATAATAAAAAGGATATAATAAAAAGGATTTTTCCAGAGCAGGAAATATCCTAAGAATCAATGACAACTCTACGCTTTTCAAACAGAAAATAGATGCTAGAAAATGTTCACAACAGAATATCCCAAAGCTCTCTTGCAGAATTCTCATAAGCAGACAATTTTAACTCTACAACGCACAGGAAATTTCTTTAAATGCAACCAGAAGCAGTATGTTAAAGGCAAGCTGTTGCGCTTTGTAGGCACTCATGGCTGCTTAAATACCCTTACACCAAGACAGTCAGAGGTAGGAAGAAAGTTGCTGTGTTTGAACAGCTCTGTTCCAACATAACCATCTCTGGATAAAGAGAAGCAGCATCAGGTGTAACTCTATAGCTATAACAACAGAATTTTTATTTTATCAATAAGATTTGAGAATTCGTGCTAGAAATTTTACTCAGCTGACAGTCCCTATATATGCATCACTAAAACTGAAGGATGTGAGCAAAGGATCTCTGAGGATGGATGTCTGTTAGAGAGGAAATCGATCACTTCTGGAAGACAGTTCAAATGCACCCAAAGCAACCAATAGCTCTTGTAAGATACAACATAAACAGTCACTACCAGTTCAGGTTCACATGCACTGCAAATTATTTATATTACAACGTAAACTGTACTTGATTGATCAAGACCAGGATTCTGTCTCCCATCAGTGGCCAAAAGCAGGTACTTCTTCCATCCCCAAAAATGCCATAACAGAGCAATGGCACTTCCATGGAATACTTCCCACCTCTAACCTGGAACTCATACATATTTAGACAGTTAAGTCTCCTGTTAATATATCTAGATCTCATCTGGAATCTACACAAATATTTTTGTCCACAATATTATGGGGCAAGGAGCACATAGTGAGAATGGCCACCTTATTCTGCTAAAGAACTCAGCTCTCCATATCTTCCTGCCACACCTTCTAGTTCTTGTGTTTAAAAACAAACATATAAAAAAAAAGCCAATAAAACAATTTATTCCTATTTCTCTTCTCCACACCACTTGTGATTTTATAGGTCTTTCTCAGGCCACCACAGAACTCCCCTGAGGGCTGAGGAGTCTTCACTACGTAGTTGCTTCTGCACAGAAGTCCTCTCATGTTTTTGATGAGCTTTCCCTGAACCTTCTCTAGTCCTACCACTTTCTTCTTGAGTTAAGGGATAAAATTCACATGAAACACTCTAGAAAATCAGATATTTTTACCAACAGTGACCATTTTCTTCCTTATTTCTCTGATTATTATTTCAGCCCCGATTTGTTTTAGAACTGTGTTAGGACCATATGGCATTATCCATTCTTGTTAGTATTTGTTTTATTAGTTCTATAACTTCACTGAGAAATGTTTCAATTTCAAACAGCAGTTCTAGACAGTCCCCACAAAGAAAGGTTCTCCAACATTGAAACATCTTCCAGATTGCACAGCAAAAATAATTTAGCATTTGAATTTTGACTCTTTTCTGAACACTACCTAAATATTTATTATCTTCTGGCCACAGAGGCTCTAGCTAAGCTTCCTCTTCCTGTTTGTTTAAACACAGATTTATTGCCCACTTTGAACCATTTTATGCACTGTTCTTAAAGCTCCCTCTTCACCTACCATGTTGTGGTTTTGTATTTAACCTACAAAAGCTTGAGACTCTACTAACACCATATACTGCTTTTTTAGATGTGATATTACAGGTATCAGTAAAACGACCACAAGTTTTTATACCTTAACTGTGCACATTAGCATCACGATCTGAACACAAACAGAAGTACAGTTTATTTTTTTTCTACCCCTGCTTTAAAGGCACAACAATACTTCTGGGTATGTTCTGTATTTCTTCCTTTCTTCTGAAAAGTTAACGTTTTTATAATAAGAATATACAGCATTGCTACAGATAAAGTAAGAACAGGTTTTTCCACATCACGTTAATAGATTTTGTTATAAAATTATTTTCATCCACAGAGAGAATCAAGTGTTACAGGAGGAATATCTTACAGCAATAGAGTATTTGATTACAGATAACTTTGTTTTTAAGTATCAAAAGGGAAAAAGTCTGTGTTCGTACTTGTTTTGTTGGCTTTCTGCTTGTGACGATCCTTCCTCTGTCTATTCTTACTGCGAGATTGTGTTTCTGGATGCACTAATCCACTAATCACAAGCCCTCCGGAAACAAAAGGAAGTTAAACAAAGCTTGCTAACTCACAGTAACCTTAAAAACTTACACAACCAACAAGCATTTTAACCGAGCATTTTAACCTTGGTGTTGAAATTTTCAGACAGCGTTAGAAAGCCAGAACAAACCAAAAAGCTTTTCATTATTAAGGCAACTTGAGATATTTTGAAAATAATATTTATCAAATTTCAGTCACAGAGCATTTCAGAAAGCCATGATATGAAAGCAATTTTTTAAGAAAAAATATCAGTTTTAGGAACGCAAAGAAATACTATTCTCAAGCAAATTAATTAATTAAGAAAAGACAAAATATTAGGCTGCATTGGTCAGAAAAAATCCAAGAGAACAAGATATATTTGTTCACTTAGGGAATTTAACACTGAGACTGGATAAAATATTAGAGTATCTGCTCTGGAAAACAATCCTCACACAAAGAGAAATGCTCCAATGAATGATCCAGCAGATTGTCTCTTTTTCCAGTATCATACACAATCTCTGATGTAATAAACCTACTAGTATAGAGAAACTGTTCTGCTCTTCTCTAAACAGTGAAGGCAAAGTAACTTAACATACTCTCCTGATGCTATTTTCAGCTGACAAGGGAATATCAGGAATGAAAAGGACTACATAGAAAGGTGACTAAATAGCTAGTGACCATAAATAATCTTTAAAAAAAAAAATTACCCAAAAGTAAGCCTCTCAAAGTCCTCCTGGCACAAGATCAACCCACAGATTTTTCTTTACTGCCCCATCAGAAGGAAGCAAATAGGTATTTTGGAACTAATACCTGAAGAGTTCATAGTATAGTTTATGCGCTCGCCTCTCCAATATTCCAGAGGTCTCAGCCGTATCCTTTTCGTTCGACGAACGTTAGGTGTGTTGGAAGGCATTACTAATTTGAAGGATGACATAATTCATATTAAACATGAAAGGAAAATTCAGAGATGGAAAATATTAAGTATCCTTTCCTGTTTTGCTGTATCACAAGGGGGGGTCAGCACTTCCCAGCTGATATTTATATCACATTGCTATTGTGACAGGAAAATGGGATCCAAATATTGACAAAAGCCCTCTTTTGCATACATCACTATTTCACTCTCCTTTTTCTTAAACAATCACCACACTGACTTTATATTATACTTAGTTCTATGTATCTTAGTGAATCACTGAGACATGGACCTTAGGAGCTCAAGCACAAGGACAGAAAACATGCTACAACTGTGAAGACAAAGCTCTCGACAAAGACTAAGGACCCAGCCTAAATCTGAGGGATTTCATTAGCAGCAGTGGAAAGGCACTGCCTTAGTTACGGCAAGGGGAGAGTAAGAGACTGCATAAGCAGCTCCTCCTCTTCCAGATTCACAAGTCCCATTTCTGAGGTCCAGAAGAATGGCACTTCTGCCAACAGAAACTCCACGTATTTCCAAGATTTCTCAGATATTTATCTTCAGATGTACTTATTACATAGTCTCAACTTTCAAGTTGTCTAAGCTACCATATAGGAATACAGTAAGATATATTTTAGTATTTGGAAGGAAGACTAAAAGCCCTTTAAGAGCTAAGAGCAAATTAGTCAAGATATTTAAATGTTAAAAATGGTAAATATAAAAAAATTGATGAAATAGTTTTTGAAGGTAGACAACTAAAGTGTTGTGCATAAAATAATAATGAAGGCCATAAAAAGAACCCAATATAAAACAGACAAGCATGGGACTGCAATCGACTGCACACGCATTGTTCCATCCTATCCAGACTCAGACCACCACAGAAGGCAGGTTATTTGCACCATCAGTTATACTGCGTAAAACTAATACAAACTCTTACTGTTCTCACTGAACTGTGGGTTTGTCCTGACTCAGTTGTTTAGGAATACATTCAGTGCAGGTAGCTCAGTGTGCAGCTGCACGCCAGTCTCCTTCAGCAAACTTTACATCAAGTTGGAAATACATTTGTATTTACACACTAACATTATGATATTTTAAATAATCTTACCTATTTTATGCCTTGCTATGTTGTCTGACAATGGATCTCTCACTTTGTAATTCAAGTCATCAAAAGTCTCTGTAAACACATTCAAAAAACCACCACCATAGGCATTTAATATTCCTGACTTTTATTCAATATACCCACTAAAAGCAACCAAGGGTAATACAAGTCCCAATGATAGTGTTCCCGCTTAACACATTTTGCTATAAACATGTATGAAACCCAATGTAGATAAGCAGTATATGTAATCAGTAAGCTTGAAATTACATGAAAACTATATATTCAAGTAAATATTCCTCAGACCTATCCCTCTTGATAAAACACACATTGGAAAATTATGACAAAGTGCAAGGTCAATCAGCTTTATATCACTCAAACCTAGCTTCAGAACAAACTTCTTACAAGAACACACACAAAATTAGGTCTCTGAAGAAGGCACCGCATGAACTAATAACATTCGCATATTCACTTTTGGCTCTAAAATACTAACAAAATGACTTTTTATCTCCAAGGCTCATGTTCATTATGACAACACGTACAACTCATGTTGTGAAACTTAAAATCCAAACCAACCAAACAAAACTTTTAAAAAAAAACAGACACCACAAACCAAACCAACCAAACCAAAACATTCTTGGGTGAACAGGCCATCGGGCTGTACACTTTGGTCCAGGGTGGCCTGAAGTGATTGCATTTAGTACCATCACATGGCAACACATCAAACTGGTACAAACAGAGCCTGAAAAATGTGTTCAAAATATTTTGGAGCGATAACTTTATCCCAGTAGGCTTGATGCCAAACCCTGGAGGGTTTGTTCTTCCAAAGCTAACACAACATAAAGCTGGCATAGCGTACCACCTACTTGGACAGAAATGTAACCACAGCCAATAAAATCCACATTTGTTCTGGACAAGCTGAATACAACAGAAATTACTGAACCATCAGTTACAGTTTATAAGAAGCTTATACATAAAATGCAAGAAAATATCAACTTTAAACATTACCTGATGATGTATCATACTGTTCACAAGACTTAGTGCTGGAATCAAATTTATCGCAATGTTCTAGAACAGGCCCACTGCAAAAGAATAAAAAATAAACCTGCTTAAAGATGTTAAATGTCAAAGGAACATTACAGCACTACCATATATATAAAAGTTAAGTTTTTTTCAGATCATGTGGTCTGGGTTTTATTTTTCTTTTAAACATCTGTCTACAGTGATTAGACACTAAAGCAAATGACTGCTAGTTAGAAATCATAGGTCTGAAATTCATCAACTCCTCCTCTACTCAGTCACCAGGCAGAAAAATTAGTGTTCACACCTCTTCTCTAAACAGGTTCCTTAAACTTCTTTTTTTCTCCCTTCCAGAATAAAGATACTTTCTTCTGTAGCATTACCTTTCAAACAATTTTCCATATACTGTGATTATGGTACTGCTTTAAAGAAATATTTTGCATACTATAAGGAATGGACAGTAAAATAGTTTGTCTTTGTAATGAGTAGTCTGCCATGAAATCTCCCCCATAAAATGACAATTTATATGTGTGACTCCACCAGAGATTCTTTAGCAACCAAATCACTTCTAACAGGACCTCTCTTGCAGCCTTAGCATCAGTACCCTTCACCTTCCTTCTTCCTCCATCTGTGGCTGTGCTTCACTGCTTTTACTGTGCCAGTGAAGTTCACCTGTTATCCACCTAAACTCCAAAAGATGCATTTAAATTACCTAAATTACCAAAACTACACTACAAATTCATCCAAGTAAGTCGGCGGTAGTCTCCCTTATAATTAAAAACCCCAAATTTTTCTGCAGAATGACTGCTTAAGAATTCAATAAATTCACAGACTGCCACTCCTGTTTGCTTTGCTTTGTCATTAAGTTCCCATCCCGTGAAGGGGAAGATACATGCCTATCTACATGCAAAAAGTTTGGATCATAGATACAGCTCTATACCCCACTTAACGGCAACTTTATTAGTACAACTGCTATTAGTTCTAGGGGCACTGGTATTTCTGTTCCAAAATCACACACTAATGTGGAAACAAACCTCAAAGGAAAAAAATCCCCTAAGGCAAGAAACCTACTATGACCCCTTATTTATGACAGGAAGAAAAATTTTACTAGTTTATTAACTGTATTAATGCAGTATTTAAAATCCTCAAGCATGAATTACAATTCTTTTCTACTAGGTGCTTCACTAGTAGAGCACAGAATGGGGTAGTACTACCAAACTCTTCTGTCTCAGTGGGGCAGAAGTGAGATTAAATTCAAGGTTTTCAGACAACTCAAGAAATTACCTTTCATAGTTCACAGCCTTCTCAGCCACAAAGGAATATCTAGAAGAGAAAAAATTATTCTTAGTACATTTTAGGGTTGAGTCAATTTTACTTAATGAAAGGAACCTGTAGGGCAATAATTTTATATCCTGAACAAAACCATAAAAAGACATTAAAAAAAATTAAAAAACAATGCAAAGAACAACTATTAAAAACTGGTTTTAGACTCCTTAAACTTCCGTCTTTAGATTGCCTATGACTAGAAAGTTACATCCACAAAAATATATACAATAGTTGAAGAATTAAATGCTGTATTTTCCAAATTTCATTTAAAAATACAACAAACCTGACAGTGAAGTTACTCTGTGGTGGTAGGATTGTATCTACTACACAAGTCTCACGAGAACAGTTTAACCAGCACAAACTTCCTCATGTAAAAGACACTAGATTTGGCACCCACGTTTGAGAACAGGATGTTGACTACACCACTTGGTTTCTCTATTAACTATTTGACCAATCTCAAACTATCTCGTAGTTCAATTGGGCCATCACTGCTTAAAAGTTAACAAGGTGTGTTTAATTATCTACCAAGTTATACCACGCTCGTAAGGAATCACATAAAAAGCTTACTGTGGTCCATGTTGCCTGTTACGTTTTCTTTTGTTATTTTTCATTTTTACATCTGATAACTTCTGTTTTTTCCTTGCCATGTTCTGTACAGAAGAGCTGTCAGAATCTGTTTGAGACTCAATGTCCTCAGGGTTTGAGGAAACAGCTTTATTGGTTCTGCAAGGAATCTTTCCGGGTATCTTCCCTGAATACTTGGCTGGCAACTGCTTCTTTTCAGAATTCTTCACACTGTCCATGGGATGTTGTAGTGCTTTCACAGGAGATTGGTTATTTGCACCACCAGGTGACTCCAATGTGTGCAACACATTTCTAGGCTTTTCAGACACAGCCAATTTCTGAATCACGGTGTTGCAAAGCAATTTAAATTTTAGTAGTAGAATGGCTAAGGCTTATTAGGAGAGTAGGCCTAGAAAAGCAACACTCCAAAGAAGTAAGTTAGCAACCTTGTTTGTGTGCTGAAAAAGTGGAAACCATAATCAAAGGATCTAGTCAAGCATGTATATAATGATTTGTTACCTAGGATATAGTAATTTGTTACCTAAGATGAAGTAAGGGTCTGTTAAACAGTTTCTAGGGGTAAGACAACTTAAGCAGATTTATGATTAGAGTAGATGATTATTAATTGTTATCAGTATGGAGCATGAGCTTGTTTGTAACTGCACCTGGTTTGCTGTGGAAACTGTAACTGTTTTGTCGTGGAAACTGCACGTAAACTTGTTTGAGTATAAAAGCTGAACTGAAAATGAGGGTCTTCGGAATCCTGACTTTGGACGCTAGTCCTCAGGTTCCCGGGGCCCCGAATAAAGCACCGCATAAACCGGCACTCTGTTGGTTTGTGTTTCTTTTGGTTACGGGCAACAGTTTTCTGGCGACCCAGACTGGGGACTCCGGGGGTAGCTGGGGCGGCTCACGCGCTGATCTACTCCACGCCGGCAACCAGGTGATTTCTGGGGAGACATCGACCCGTGCCCGACCCCGCACCTGCCGGACAACCCATCCAGGTAAGCCCGGAGGTGCTTTATTCCTTTAGGTTTGTTGGTTGGGAGCCTGCCTATAAGACGGGACCGTGAGTTACCCGCTGGGTTGGGCTAAAGGTACCTCGGTTGGGAAGCCTAGGCGCTGGTCGTAAGACGTAGCGAAAGCCGCGCTGTACCAGCACTCGCCACTCAGAGGGAGAATTGGCGAGTTGGTTTTGGTTTTGGTTTTGGAATATGTAATTGGTTTATATCGTTGTGTTATTGCGCTGGTCGTAAAACGTATTGGTTTATATTGTTGTGCTATTGTGAATTTGATTTTGAATTCAGACTGTGGTGTGTGTGTGTGTGTGTGTGAGTCAGTATGATGCCGTTTAAAACCTTTAAGGCACTATCTTGTGCAGAAAATGATATCCCTAGTGATTCTCCGCTTGGTTGCTTGTTAAAACATTGGAAGGAGGGAAATTTTGGACAAGAGTTAAACAAGAAACAATTGATTGATTATTGTAATAATGTATGGCCTCAATATGAGACAGAAGGAATGCAGTGGCCTAGGAATGGTTCATTGACTCTGGAAATTATAACCCCCTTGATGCAATATTTACGGGAGAATGAAATATGGGATGAAATACCGTATCTAGACTTGTTTTATTATTTAAAACGTAAGACTGAATGGCAAAAAGAATGTGGTATGTTGATTTTGAAAGAATTAGATGATAAATGCATAGGATGTCAAGAACGGAAAATATGGTTTTCAGAACCAGAGGAGGATGTGTCTTTGTTAGTCTCCCCCAGCATAACTCCAAGTGCGCCCCCGAGAGATAGTCTCCCTTCACGTGTGAGGGTACAATCACCCACCATGCCCCCGCTAGAATCGTCCTCGGATGAGGAAGAAAAGAGAAAAGGGAGAATGTGATTTTGATAGCTGAACAAACGCGGAGAGCACGAAGAGAACGAGGGAGGAGTAGAGAAAGACGGGGAGGGGGAGAGTTGAGGGAAGTTTCGCTTTCACCTCCGAGATTAATGGCCCCTTCGCGGGAAGCAGTTGGAGTGGACGGGGGAAAAGTCATGATGAAAGTTTCTTTTTTTACCTAATGATATATTAATTTGGAAACAGTCAGCTGGGTCATACAGAGAAAATCCGGAGCAGGTGACTTGTATTATAAAAATGGTTAGAAAAACTCAAAATCCGGACTGGAATGATTTACAGGTATTGTTAGATACAATTCTGGATTCAACAGAAAAAGAAATGGTATTAAGAGTGATGGTGGAAAGAGCGAAAGAAAGAATGCGAACTCTGTCCCAGGCGGCGGGGGGAACAGTGGATGATTTTATGCCGCGGGAGGATCCCGGGTGGGATCCAAATGTGTCTGGAGATTGTAGAAAGTTGAGAATTTACCGAGAATTGTTGGTGGAGGGAGTGCAAAGTGAGATACCAGGGACGCTGGACTGGTCAGGGCTGTACTCGGTGGGACGGGATAGGGGAGAATCTCTTTCAGCCTTTTTAGAGAAGTTAAAAGAGGAACCTCTGAATGAAGTTAAAAGTAGTAAAAAGAGGAACCTCAGAGAGAGATTACAAATAGCCCTCTGATAAGAAGATTAGTAAAAGGTGACTTTGAGGCTAGGACGCTGAAGATTCCCCCTGAAAGTCCCTTGAGGAACCTCTTAGAGAACCGGAGTTGTTATTCCAGCACTTATAGAAGATCAAAGGAGAAAATGATTAAGTATTGTATTGAAGTGTGGGGAGGTAGAAGAATAGGAAATAATACTTACTGGCCCATATATGGTACTTTTAAGAATTGGGTCTGTGAACTTTTAACTTGGTATGTTAGCAATAAAAACCCTTTTGCCCAGAGGAGAGTTTTTATGTCGATATATAGTTAGAAGCCAGTGAAGATATTTACTTGTTTTCTTTAAGAGAAAGAAGGAGCACAACCCTTTAGAGTGTGACAATACCTAATTAGTTTAGAAGCCAGGAAAGGAATAGCTCCTATGATCACATAGTTTTTAATTTTAGGGATATTAAAAGAATGTGAGTCAGAGTTTAATACTCCCATTTTTCCGATAAAAAGCAAAATGGTAAGTATAGGTTAGTGCAAGACTTTAGAGCAGTAAACCTCATCACAAAAGATATCCACCCGGTTGTAGCTAACCCTTACACCTTGTTAACATCTGTTTCTGAGAGATTTCAGTGGTTTACAGTGATTGATCTAAAGGATGCCTTCTTCTGCATACCACTGGCACGGGAAAGTTGGAAAATCTTTGCCTTTGAATGGGAGAACCCAGAGACTGGACGGAAGTGACAGCTTACTTGGACTCGATTACCACAAGGATTCAAATGCTCACCCACGATATTTGGTAATCAGTTAGCAAAGGAACTTGAAGAATGGAAGACTACTCAGGTAAAAGAATCTCTTTTTTTCATATATAATACTTCAATATGTTGATGACATCTTTTTGAGAAATACAGAGCAGGGACTCTGCCGTCAATTAACCATTGAACTGTTAAACATGCTGGGGCAAGCAGGCTATCGAGTCTCAAAAGAAAAAGCACAACTAGTAAAACAGAAAGTTATTTATCTGGGATGTGAAATCTCCCAAGGAACCCGGCGCTTAGGAACAAATAGGGTTCAAGCAATATGTGCTATCCCTGTGCCTCGAAATAATCAGGAACTGAGATCTTTTTTTAGGAATGGTCGGATGGTGCAGACTGTGGATTCCCAACTTTGGACTAATTGCCAGACCTTTATATGAAGCAGTAAAGGAGCCCAAGCTGACCTGGGGGACGAAGCAAGAGAAAGCGTTCCAGGAATTGAAAAGAGCCCTCCAGGAAGCACCTGCCCTGGGACTGCCGGACCCAACCAAGGAGTTTCAGCTCTATGTCTGCGAGAGACAACGAATGGCTTTAGGAGTCCTCACTCAGCGTCTAGGATCCTGGAAAAGACCGGTTGGATATTTCTCCAAACGGCTAGACGCAGTAAGTGGGGGATGGCCAGGGTGTCTCAGAGCTGTGGCAGCGACGGTTACTTTAATACAAGAAGCACGAAAATTGACTCTGGGAAAACACATGGTAGTGTACGTACCCCACATGGTCATAGCAGTTTTGGAACAAAAAGGGGGGCATTGGCTCTCATCTAGCCGTATGTTAGAGTATCAAGCTTTGTTGAGAGAACAAGATGATGTTGAACTGAAAATCACTAACCATCTCAACCCAGCAGAATTCCTTAGGTCTACACAGGAAGAAGGTATCCTGGAGCATGACTGTGTAGAGACCATTGAACAAGTCTACGCGAGCAGAAGAGACTTGAAGGACGAGCCATTGACAGATCCTGACTGGGAATTGTTCACTGACGGATCTAGCTTTGTGGAGAACGGCACCAGGTATGCTGGGTATGCAGTGGTCACTGAACAAGAAGTGATAGAAGCAAATGCACTACCCCCAGGTACGTCTGCACAAAAGGCCGAAATATGGGCATTGGTGAGAGCTTTGATATTAAGCCAAGGAAAGAGAGTTAATATATGGACTGACTCCAAATATGCTTTTGGGGTAGTTCATGTTCACGGAGCACTCTGGAAAGAGAGAGGACTTCTTACTTCTCAAGGGACAACGATTAAACATCGGGAAGAAATTTTACAATTGCTAGAGGCAATACACAAGCCCTCAGCAGTGGCAATAATGCATGTTAAAGGACATCAGAGAGATCCCGGACGAGAATTTCAAGGTAATCGACAGGCTGACCAAGCGGCTAAGCAGGCCGCAAGAGAAGTATGGACTCAGATGGTTTTTTTGCCTGTTCGAAATAATCCAGCAATACCATATATGGAAGAAAAACCACATTATTCACAGGAAGATGAGAAATTAGCTCAAATGACAAATACAAGGAAAAATGTTAAAGGGTGGTATATTTCCCCCACAGGACAAGTGATTCTACCTGTCAGAATAATGAAAGCAGTGCTTGAAACAGAACACAATAAGTGCCACTGGGGTGCAGAAGCATTGGTAAAATTTTTGAAAAATGAAGTTCTCTCAAACCAGATGTTAACACTGGCAAAAAGGGTAAATGCAATGTGTCCTATGTGCATAAAGAATAACCCAGTAGTCAGGAAGCAGGTGCAAATGGGAAAATTACAGATAGGTCAGTTACCGGGAGATTATTGGCAAGTAGAATTTTCTGAGTTGCCTAAGGCCCAATCCTATAAGTATTTGTTAGTATATGTCTGCACCTTTTCCAGATGGCCTGAGGCTTTTCCCTGTAGGACTAATCAAGCAAAGGAAGTGGTAAAAACTCTCTTGAGAGAAATCATCCCAAGATTTGGAGTTCCCCTAGGGCTGTCCTCTGATCGAGGACCGCACTTTACAGCAGAGATAGTACAAGATGTGTCGGTTGTATTAGGGATAACATGGAATCTCCATACACCATGGAGACCACAGTCTAGTGGACAAGTTGAAAGGATGAATCAGACATTGAAAGGTCAATTGAAGAAAATCTGTCAGGAGGCAAAGATTCCGTGGCCCCAAGCAGTATCCATTGCCCTGTTGAGAATTAGGATCAAACCAAGAGAGAGGATAGGAGTAAGTCCATATGAAATATTATATGGCAAACCTTATCATGCAGCTACCTACCAAGGGGATCCTCATATAGTAGGTGATCAAGCAGTGTTTAATTATGTGTTATCTTTAAATAAGACTCTCACAGCCCTCAGAGGAGCGTTGCAGTGGAATCGACCTTTGCCCCTGGAGAATCCAGTGCACGACATTTCTCCGGGAGATCATGTCTACGTGAGAAACTGGTCGGTGGAGCCGCTGAAAGAAATATGGGACGGTCCTCGCCAGGTGATAATGACGACCTACACGGCAGTAAAGGTCGAAGGAGTCGACAGCTGGATCCATTATACTCGGGTCAAGAAGGTTCCAGTCTCGTGGTCGGTAGAACCTCTCTCACCCACAAGGATGGTATTTCGAGCCAACCATTGAGGATCATAGTGTTCCTGGGGTTGATAAGTTTAGCAGAAACCACCGTGAGAATTGAGACCCCGGATCCTTATTTACTTGTACCAGAGCATACTGATGTGAATTTAACCTGTTTGTTTTCTGATGACCAGGGAGCTGAATTAAGGGATGTTAACGTCAAGTGGAGATGGAGAGATCAAGATCAAACCATGACAGAAGGAGTGACAACAGTTTGGGATGCTACACAACAAAAAGGTTACACCGTTCTGCAGGTACCCAAAGTGTCTAAAGCCATGGAAGGGACATATATGTGTGCAGTTTGGATTTGGGAAAGTTTTGATTATGGACATATAGAAATATGGACAGTAAACACGACTCAGAAAACGGTGACCACAGTGCGAGTTATACCCACCAGGAAACAATCAGACATGTGGGATGGTCCTCCTTTAAAAATCAATTGTACCTTCCAATTTGATGATTGTCAAAAATCAATTAAAGTAAAGTGGTGGAAACTGAATCTGGCAAATCAATCTTGGGAATCGCAAAGTCAAGGAGTTAGCTGGTGGTCAAATAGTAAGGGAGGTAAAGGGTGGTTGAATATTTCTAATCCCAAAGTAGGAAAGACAGAAGGTACATTTCTTTGTGTGGTCTCATGTGGAGAAGAAAAAGATTATGGGATAAGAACAGTAGTAGCCGTACCACATCAAGGAGTAAGACTCAGACCAGAACACAGTGTTTACCCAGCTCAGGAAGGAAGAGATCTGATTCTAAGTTGCAAAATTCCAGAAGGACAGTATTCTGAATATGGGTGGCGGTTTAAGGGACAGAACTTGAAAGTTGGGAAGAGACATCAGATTGGAAAGAGAGCAGACGCAATAGTTTTGAAAATCAAAGAAATACAAAGAGGAGAAGATGAGGGCCAATATACTTGCTGGATAAGTAAAGATGACTGGTGGGATACTGGAATTACTGCCGTCTACATAAGGGCTGAAAGAATAACCCGACAAGTAAGTAACCTGCAGATTCCAGATAGAGAAGTAGAACAAAAAACCTAGTTGTAGGCCTAATTCGTGATTTTGGGAAAGTACAGAATGTCACAAAAATCACTGCATGTCTCCCTATGCCTCATGCTGCAAGAGACCCAATCCCATGGGGAATAATTCCAGTACCAGAAATTCCTAAAGTATTTAAGAATACTACGTGGAATTGCAGATTTGTGACCAAAACATGGAATGAAATGATAGATGCATGTCTACTCAAAAACGAAATGACTAAGAAACAATGTGAACAAGTACCTGGATTTTTCCGATGGGTAGTAGTTGGAACATGGGTAACAAGCGAAAACATTGACAAATTAAAAGGATCTTGTTTAGTTACAGATTCAGTAATATACCCATGTTCTAAAGTCCCGGCTCAAATAAAACGAGAAAAACAAGAACAAGTATGTCAAAATATTACTAGCTCTACAACCAAGGATGAATGGCAAACAATTTGGGGACCCAGCTTATTAGAGACTTTTAGTTATATTGGAAAAGTACAGTGGTGTATTCACTGGAAAGGGAAAAAGAATCAAACTTATTCTACAGGCAATAGAGGAAATCATAATTGGAGGACAGAAACACGTGCAAAAGAGAATTGGAATTGTACTCGAGTATATACATGTGATACCCCAGACGATGAAATAGGCTTAATGCCAGTCAAAACACTTTTGCAGTTAGGATGTGAATGCCGAGGATATAACCATATGATTAAGGGATCTGTGAAAAACATTGATTGCCGTACCACCACAGTTAAGAGCCCAGGAAATTTAGTGTGGGTCATGGGACATGGTCAGTGGACCACCCACATGCCAATAGATGGTCCAGTTGTACCTGTCACACTAGGGATACCTACTCTCTGTCCATTCTGGAAGCAGGACAAGTTAACATCAGTAGAAATAAAACCACGAAGGAAAAGAGAAATTAGTAAAGACATTGATAACCTGGGGTTGGGAGATTGGCATGAACCATCAGCAGGAGTTAAATTTGGATGGGCATTAGAGCCTCTGTTTGCACCAATCTCAACATACCGGAACAGAGAAATGTTGTTTAAATTAATGGGACAAACTGAAAGGTTAGCAGCAGTCACCAAGAAGGGATTTAAAGATCTAAATTTACAATTACAAGCCACCTCTAGAATGACCATACAAAACCGCATGGCATTAGACCTAATATTACTTAAGGAACATGGAGTTTGCGGCTACCTGCATGCTAAGAACGAGTATTGTTGTGTGCACATCCCAAATGTCACTCAGGAAGTAGAAAAAGATATTAGTCAATTAGAACAAATTGACGAGAATGTTCATGAACTGCAAAAAGAAGCAGAACACAATTGGATAGGACAATTATTCAGCTCCCTAGGTCTTCATGTGTCAGGATGGATATCTTCTGTTATCCAGTATGGAATATTGATTGTAGTGATTATTGTGATAGCTATAATTGTTTACAAGTGTCTTTTAGGAATGATTGTAAAAGAAAGTCAACATACGAGACGCATCATGAAAAGCTATAACAAGAAAAGAAGTAATCTCATCGCAAGATGGACCACCTCCTGCCTGTCAGGAAACTGCAACCTGAAGATTGCTGTATTTGAGCATCCTTGCAAGCAAAGCCTGAAGAATGCTCAAAAGGGGGGACATGTTGCAAAGCAATTTAAATTTTAGTAGTAGAATGGCTAAGGCTTAGTAGGAGAGTAGGCCTAGAAAAGCAACACTCCAAAGAAGTAAGTTAGCAACCTTGTTTGTGTGCTGAAAAAAGTGGAAACCATAATCAAAGGATCTAGTCAAGCATGTATATAATGATTTGTTACCTAGGATATAGTAATTTGTTACCTAAGATGAAGTAAGGGTCTGTTAAACAGTTTCTAGGGGTAAGACAACTTAAGCAGATTTATGATTAGAGTAGATGATTATTAATTGTTATCAGTATGGAGCATGAGCTTGTTTGTAACTGCACCTGGTTTGCTGTGGAAACTGTAACTGTTTTGCCGTGGAAACTGCACGTAAACTTGTTTGAGTATAAAAGCTGAACTGAAAATGAGGGTCTTCGGAATCCTGACTTTGGACGCTAGTCCTCAGGTTCCCGGGGCCCCGAATAAAGCACTGCATAAACCGGCACTCTGTTGGTTTGTGTTTCTTTTGGTTACGGGCAACAACGGGAGTCTCTAATTTCTGACGCAAGGGTGTGGTACACACATCTTTCAAATCTACAGGCTCTCTTTCATGCTCTTCTTCACTAGGTTCACTGTCAGAACTCTTCTCTCTTTGCAACTGAGGTTTTTTACTACTGCTTTTCTGGACAGATTTTTTAAGCTCCTTCCTTGAAATTAATGCCACTTTCTTAGCTACTTTAACCTTAGGAAGTTTCTGCTTAGCAGTTTGTTTCCTCTTATCTAAATGCTGAGAAGCTTTTGAAGCTGACTGCAGATTCTTGGAAGACTTGAGAGACTTTTTTGAAGACACAGTCTGCTCTTGTTGATGCCCAGATGAGGGCATAGGCAAATCTTCACTTGGCAGCACCCTTGTTTTACATTTTTCTGCATCAGATGTTTCTGTTTCCAATCCAGATCATGACAATATCAGTTCTTCAGCTTCTGGTTTCCAGGATGTGTTCTTTTTCTGGTTTGGAGAGTCTTGCCTAAGTGCGTCCTTTTTAGTCTTTCCTATCAATACACAAAACATTTGGACATCAATATCTTTTTACATTAAACAGATACATGTTGACATCTGAATGCCTAAAAATAAACCAAAAATTCAAAATGGGAAAACATACAAACAAAAGGTATCACAAAACCAGGTTTGTTCCCGAAGGCTAAAAGAAGGCCTTCTCTAAACTAGAGTGTATAAAAAAACCTTTTTAGTGTACTTCCAGTATTTCCTAACAGAAAAAAAAGGGAGCAGAAATGTCACATTTAGCTTACTATCCAGTTTTCAGTGTTTCCTGCTACAAACCTTTTCACAAATAATTCCTAAAACCCAATCCCCTTCAGTTTGAAGCATGTGTCTTAACCTCCTTCCTACCTACCTTCTACCCTACGTACCCTACCATGTGGGTACCTACCTTCTACACCAGCTCATAAGGAAAGACAACACCACTAAATTAATTTTCAACATCCTAACAGGAAGGGTAAAGAGGATGGGAAAAGTAAAAACACTCTGTCTCACTGCCTCATACACTTCCAAATCTAACTGTGGAACTGAAACATCAAAAAGGAATCCATTAATGTCTCCTATCTACTTTATTATAATTTCCTAATAAACCACCACAAAATAATCCAGTAATATGACCTGGAAGGAAACATTTAAGGAGCTGTTAAAGAACTTACCTGTATGAGTACTCTTTTGACTTTGAGATTTAAGGACATTTCCTTCACTGTTAGAGATTGGATCCGGTTTCGACGTTCTTTTGATGTCAAAGGCTCCAGCATCCAGATTATTCAGTTTCTGTTTAGTAAGTGCTTCAACCTGTGCTTTCCTGTTCTTGCCTTTCTTACTCTGTGTCTTCTTCTGTTCAGAGGGCTGAGATTTAGAAACAGGAGTTGCAGAGCCATCTTTTTTTGATTTTCTTTTCTTACTGGGTATTGAAATCCAAGAAGTAAATGATGCACCACCTGAGTCATCAATTAAAAATTCACATTCATTTTCGATTTCCATATCCTGATCTTTCATAGGAGGAGGTGATGGAGGTGATATTGAGGCTGAATATCTACAGAAAGGAGTGACAATGACAAATCATTTTGGGCGGTGGGGTAAATTGACTTACAATCTTTAAGATTCCAGGACACCTAAACACAGTACAGAACATTCTTCAGAACGCATTCATTCAGTGCTCTTCAAGCTTCCAAAAAGAGCACAAGGCCTGCTTCTTCTTGTTGATGCTGGACAGTCAACTGGACAGACACTGGACAGTCAATTTCCTACGTAAGCAGCCAGATCCAGACTAGCTCTGAGAAAAGACTGCTTGCTCACTGTAAACTTCAAAATCACATAAGGTTTTCCTGAATCCTCTAGGCTACCTATCAAAACATCTCAGGGTCTATCTGAAACACTATTCAACAGACATTATTCAACACACCATTTTACTGGCAGACAAAACCAAGAGCACTGTTAAATTCTACACAAAATTTTGAAACAACCATTCAAACCCTTTCTCAAGTGGCATTTTTAAGTAATGGTCGACTATCACAAAACATGCTCCCAGACTTTGTTTATAGATAAAAGGATGTTGTTCCGATATTCAGACCAGAGTTATTTTAATAGCAAATTATGTTCCATATTAAGCCTCAAAACAAACCTCTGTCAAAGTGTTCCTGTTGCTACAGCTGCTAAGAGAGCTGAAGAGAAAGTCTTCTCTTTCTGCACAGAAGATGTAGCAACAGGTTCTGTTCCTTGCACAAGAACAACCTGCTCATCTCTCCCAGTCTGAGGTCCTTCCAAATTTTCAACTTCTCCACAGTTCTTTGCTGCAGTAGGTGTATTCCAACCATCAAGACATAATCTATGTATGAAAAACAGCATTCAGATATATTGCTATAAATCTTGTGAGTGCACAATAAAGTATTGTGAGGAAGAACAGATGCTCCTGCTGACAGTGTCTCACTTAGGAATGAGTTTCCCCTTGGTAATTTGCTGAAACACGGCCTAGCTGTAGTACTTCCCAGCACAGCAGCATGTGTCCAAAGCAATACAGAGTCTTATGGTGACTCTTGAGCAAAGTAAAGGCTGCTCAGTAAGACAAATTCCTAATTTGTCCTAATGTGCTTCAGAAATTGTCAGGTTTCCTAGACTGTAGGTACACTGTCTTCCCAATCTCACTCCATCAATGGGAATCAATGGGATCAGTGTCAGTCCGTCTCTATGATCTACCCTACAGGCTCAGCCCTCCAGGAAAGCAGAACTGTGGTAAGGACCACTGGCCAATATTGCAGTTGGGCTTCAAATTTTCCTGTGGGGAGACAGAGATCCCAGTTTAAGTTTTTCGATTTCGTATAAAAAACTCGTCTATTCAGAGTGAGAAGAATGATGACTGTTCATTTCTACTTTAACAAATTCTTGTTAACTTCTAAGGTCAATACTGTCAGTAGGATTCATTGAAAAAGTCTGGACTACTTAAGAAGCTGATAATTTGGTGAACTTTTCTGCAAAGAGTTCAAGTCTATTCTGACAGGCTTCCTACACTTGGGTGCTGCACTTATCACCAGAATATTTAATAAAAAATAATTCTGTCCTTCCTAAAAACAGATATGGAAATTTTCTAAAAAGCTTGGAATTATTTTTTATGAGTTCACAATCTAAACTTATAAACGATGGAAACCACTGTGTTGATTTACCCTAAGGTGGAGGGCACACAGGGGATGTAAAACCACAGCCATGTTCAGCTCTACTTACTTAACTACCGGAGAACTTTTCCCTTTCTCCAAAGGAAAAGGTGATCCAACAGACCCGTGATCATCCTCAGGGTCCAAAAACACGGCAGGACTTCGGCACAGCGCTTCAACATCTTCTAATGTAGTTTTTTTGCTTTCAGACACAGGAGACTCTGTTTTTTTAGTAACATCTACATAATCATGTATTGCAGGCTTCAAGGGTGATTTACATGACTGTCCTGCCATATATATAGAACAGGTTTAATTCCTCTACTCAAAACCTTACAAAAAACCCCCCGAGAAACCCTTAGCTCAGTACTAGTGGGACCAACCTCTGCTGCTGACTGGTTTTAGCAGTGATGTAGATGAGGATTCTGGAGAATAACAGGCTCTTTTCACAGAGTTGGTTGATCCTGCCTTTGGCTGTCATAGTTGGTAACGAATAATGAGACAAAGTAAAACAGTTGATAAAGCAACAGTATTTTGATAGGAATACAAATTTCTACAGAACACGATATACTTTCCTTCCCTTAAATCACACTGTGATGTGAATCACAGTTCAATTTTAACTAAACACTTCAACTTTCTATCAAGTAAGACTTTCTAGAAGTAACTATAAATTTCAAATAACAGGGAAAACTGTGTTCAGCAAAAGTCTATATGCAGCTTTAAACAGGCATCCTGCTAGTCTCCAGGCAAGCTATTCTTTTCATTAGAATGAATTATTTTAAACAATTTAATTCACCTTTCTTAAGACAGGCTGAGGTTTTGCAAGAAATTATTTGACATTATATGCTATTCTAACATCAAACTAAAGTAAACAAACACCACTATAAAGGATGCCTGTTCTCAACCCTGCCATTAACGGAATATCCTATTTAAAAAAAATAGAATCAAAACATTAAAATTAAATATACAAACTAGATTATTGGCATCATTTTCCCAGCACACTAACAAGGCCTTCAACTTGTTTCCACTCTTCAAGAAAGATACATATATATAAAGTTATTGTACAGATAGCTATCAGGAGTTAACGAGCTTTTGTACAAGCATCACCTTTCAACTCTACTGTTCACCATTTAGCTAAGAACTGTGTCCATATATCTAGCAAAGTGGCCAAAACCAACTCCAACGGAGTCCAAGACAGCCATACCCACCAGCAGTAATAAGGCAGCGTGCTCCAACCTGAGACCATAAAAAATTTAAGTGTCCTGGACAAAAAGCTGAAAAAGCTTTCACTAGAAAAAAACCTGGAAAATAAGCTATTAAACAAATCTAATTACAGAATATTTACTGTTAGAGTACAACAAACTAAGAAAAAAAACCATTATCAACAACTATTACAGATGGTTAAATTGTAGCCTATATACTGTTACAAGTGGCATATGGAGCTTCTTCAATGCTCATACAGAACTAAATCCTACAGAACTAAATTTGGACCCCAGTGAAACTGTACCCAAAGCTATACTGTGACATTGCCATAACTAACTTACGCTTTGGCTCTGCATTGAAGTCCTCTTCCTATTTTTGACAACAGGAGCTGAGCAAAGGGTTGTATTTGGAGAGTTTATTGTCAGATCACTGCTGCAACCTATGAAGAAAACACTGTAAGTATGGGGATCTTGGAATTGTCCAGGTCTCATTTATTTTAACAAGTTGCTACAGCTATTAAGGTCACATAAATCCAAACAAGAAAGGAATCAGCTACTCAGGAAAGATTACCTTTATAAGACAGCTAAGACACAGTTTTAAGCAGCTGGGAGGGGGGTGCTTTTCAAGACCCAAAAAAACTTTATTTTTATCCATTTTATCTCTAATTTTTATTTCTATTTACTTACCACTAAATATAATATAAAGAAGAAATTATTTCTTCTTTTACCAGCAAATTGAGTAAAACACCAAATAAGAGCTTACTTTCAAAACAATCCTCTATGAGTTTCAGTACGTTTTGACCTGGCTGTACATCAATCTTACTTCTAGAAAGAAGACGAAAAAAAATATTTTAAATCAAAAATATCAAATGTTCTTATCCCAGCAATAATAAAGCAGCAAAGTTCTTACTTCTCAATATTTTAAATTATTATTTCCTCTAGTCTCAGCTTCAATATACTTTTACCTATCATTTCCACACATAGATATCTGCCAAGAAACTTGTCAAAATAAGAATTCCAGGGAAAAAAGCCTCACTGCCACAGATTATGATGAGAATGAAGAATTCTCTCTACATAAAAGAAAACACACAACTACTTCCCTGAGGTAAAAGAGCTTTGGGGTGAAGAAAGTCTCTCTTGAAATAAACATTTTTGGGGCAGAAGTGAGCGATTCACTAGCCAGACAATGTTGATCAAAACCAAAATAACACTAGAAAAGACATGGAGTATTACTCCCATAATGATCATTATACACAGCTGATTTGGTAGATTTGGTAAGCTCGTGAAATGCAAGTCTAAAAATGGATTCCAGCAACAAGAACTTCACAGGCTTCTGACGTGCCTTTAAAGAATGCTACAGCACTGCAAATACTCCAACTCATCTCTAGCATTTACCAGCAAGGTCCAAATACGCTGGAACTCTGTGTGGGCTTCATTTCTCTTCTTCTCAAAAGGCAAAATGTCTGCACAGACGACTCCTTCCGTACTCAGGCAGCCTAGTTAGGAGCACCTTAGGTATAGCAACACCATAGTTTGCTGCCTCAGCAAAGGAAACAAAGGAAAACCTTGGGGCTTTGTCCCCCAGCACTGTTTGCTCCTCCCACCACTAAGAAATACAAGAAATTTGGGAAACATCGTATGATCGGATTAATAGGATACACCGTATAGCTTTGACATTATGCTCTCAGATAAAAATCCACATAAGTTTTCCAGAATCTAAGAATAAAACTTCAGATGCAAATTACCCTCCTCCATGGCAGAATCTTGCTCTGTAGTCTTTTTTTAAATGATTCTGTGAAGAAATAAGAATAAGTTCTTACTAGGCATAATGACACTTGACAGGAAAACAAGTAAGCAAACATCAAGCATTCTCCGGCCATCGTAAACTAGTGGGAGAGTGGGAGTTACTGCAGCCCTGTTTTCCTTAGAATGCCACAGCAGCTACAACCCCTGTAACAATTGCCAGAAATTCAGCTTTCCACAAGAACCATCAAAGCATCTGTTGCATTTGAAGTCAGAGAGTCTTACAGGAGACTTACGTGACAGAAATCACAGAGAATGTAAGGATTTGGTTACCATTTACTCAAGTGTAATGACTAATCTTTAAAGTAAGGAAGAGGAATGATCTACCACAAAGCAAGCCAGGACATAACCAAACATCTGCTGCTGTGTGTTAACTGCTCACGTGATGGTTCTTACCTGTTTGCCACAGGCACGACCACACTGACAGGCAGTGAGAACACATCGCTGTGCCACGGTAAAACTACAGCCTCAGTTAAGTCCCAGTGCCACCTCACACACTTGAAACCCAAATATAATCAAAGTCATTCAAATAGAAAACATGACTCCAGTCATCTACTACCACAACTGGAGCAGTAATACTTCAAACGGCAACATATTATCAGTGTTACCTTCTACACCAACAAATGAAATAAAGCCACTGACCTGGAAACAGGCAAAGAACATCAAGGATACGAATGGGAAGAAAGGTCTAGAAAAATTCAAGTGCTAAGCACAGTGCAGTTTTTCACAGATGTGACAGGAAAACATCTAAAAAAATGTAAATGTTTAGCTGAAAAACAACTATGACCTCTTATTCATTTGTGTAAATTTAAAAAGTATGTGCAGCTTGGAGATTATCTAGTCCTAACACAACGGAAGTCAGCTCGTTTTTCTGAAGTTTGCTATACTGACAGTACTTTGCACTTTATGATTCCTCTTTGGATATTACTTCTGGTCACAAAAATAACCAACACCACATATGGATTGATTGCACTGGAAACTTTCAATATCAGCCTTAAGCAGCAGAAGGAAACTCTAGGTCACACGGGAAAACAACTGACCAAAAGCCACCTCTTCAGAAACTGTGCACACTACAGTCAATCTGACACTCGGCCTTAAACCTCTTCCCCTTGCAGCAGAGTGTAGCACAATCCACTGGCACGCAGCCTTTCGCACTAAGAGACTGAAAATCTCCGACAACGGACCTTTGAACAGTTCATTTATGAGTGTGTTCGCATTGTCCTACACATGAAGAGTTTTAAAACTCAAGATGAGCACGATTGTGGCGTGCCTGGACAAGTGTCCGGCTCTGTACGTGCTCACTCGCCCATGGAAGGCGGCTCTCCAGAGGCAGCCTGAGGGAAAAGGGGCTCCCGAGAGACAAGCCCTCGGAGCACAAGTGTCTGTGCAAGGGGCCCGGACCCGAACACGAAGGGCGCGGTGCGCCAACTCCGGCCTCCCGCTCCTCAGGGAGAAGCGGAAGACCCCAGGGTGGGGCGGAAGAACGACCCCGCCCCTCCCCCGGGAACGCGCCGGGGGCCGCACCTCTGGCTGCCCACAGCGCACAGACAGACCGACAGGCAGGCGGACAGACCGACAGACAGACACACCCCCGCCATCCCCGCACTCTCTCACCAAGGCCTCCGCCATCCCGGGCCGGGGCTCGCGCGCGCCCCGCGCGCCGCTTTCGAACCTGGGCGCCTTTCCCGCCGCGCGCGCGCCCACGGCCGGCGGGGACAGCGGCGCCCCGGCCACGCCCCCCCGCCTCCGCCTCATTGGTCGGGGGCCGCCGCGCGCCAGTCAGGGACGCTACGTTTTGGCGCGCGCAGGAGCGGGGGTTGTCTCCGCCCTGGGCTACTTTCTTGCCTTCCCTTCCTTAAGGGGACCTGCACGGCGACGGGTCCCGTTTCTTTGTCCTCTCCTGGGAAACGCCAGTTCAAATTCTCGAGTTTCCAAATGGCCACTGACACTACGGGGAGCTGCAGTTTTTCCTGCAGCTACGGCGAGGCAGTGCATGGGAGAAGCAGCATCCCCAGAGAAAGCTTGGACGTGGCATAGCATCTCCGAACTTCTTTGGACTTCCTGGCGATGCAGCCTCTGTGAGGAGAGCTCTTCTGTGTCCCTCCTCCTGCTCCTCTCGCTCAGAGGACAAGAGAAGAGCCTGTCACACCTGAAGTGGATGTGGTGGAAGCAGCACATCTGCAGCAGGTTGAGGGGCAGAGTGCCGAGGCGGAACCGGTTGAGGAGGGCAGGGGAGGGAGAAGAAAGCAGAGGAGGGAGAGGAGGCGGACCGGCCGGAGCAGAGGGACGGGGCTGTTGGGGGCAGCGTTAGGCCGGGCGGCGGATCGGCGGATGCGGCTCTTTGGGGAGCCGGGCTGACGGCGCTGGCCGCGGTTCTGCTCGGTGCGCAAGGCTGGCGCCCGGGGACCGTGGTGGCCGCGGCTGAGATGGCCGTGCACGTCCCTCGAGGCTGCCGTCCGACCTGGCAGGTTCTTCACAGAGCTCAGTTTCCGAATTAGCCTTCCGTCCGTCCCTCCCTCTGCTCCAAAAAGCATTCCCGCGAAACACTCACCGCTCTTACTTTTGTGAAGCCCTTCTTTTTCCCTTGCGTTTCTCTCGTCCTTCAGAGAACTCGTGCAGTCCGTGCTTTGTGTAGTAGTGAAACTGCCTCTTTCATAGGGGCGCTACATTGCTGCACTGTAGAAACTATTAAACGAGTTGTGCATTTCTAAGAAAATCCCCTGAAAGCTCCCAAGACGACCGTGTCAATGAATCCGTGTCAGCCAGGGCGCAGGAATACAGCTCCGTGTCCCCGAGACGGGGCCCAGAGAGTTAGAGGAAGGTCCAAAGTCCATCTCCCGGCGAGGACAGCCGCCCCCCTGGCGCTCGCAACTCTCGGCACCCTTTAGCAGCGCGCGCGAGGAGTTCGGGGCTGTGACCCGGGAGCTGCCGGTAGAATGGGATACAATCGCCCGTCCGTAACTTGGCGTGTGAACACTTTACGGTGATCTCACTGCCTTCCCTTGTCTCCACCAATGTGTCCTAGTGCCCCTGGGCTCTGCCTGCAGACACTGGCGGGGAGATAAAGACAAAAAGCCGTCCGAATTACTTTTTGCACTGGACGTTGTTTCCCAGAAGAAAGGGCACAGAAAGAGTCAGGACCGTACGGAGAAGAATTTGACGAGACTGTCAAGGTGTGCAGTTGTGGAAGTGTCCATTCGAATTTACTGGAGAGTTGAGTGCGGGAAAGAGAGGTGGATTTTTGGAGTCACTGAAGAATGGGAAGTTGCACGACTGAGCTAAGCAAGAGAGAAAGGAAAGTAGAAAAGGGGAAGGCCGGACTGCAGGAGGTCTCTGAAGGACAGAGAGTAAAGCAAGGAATCGGGAAGGGCTCGACAAAGAAAAGAGCGGTGAGAGTTCAGAGGGAATACTTTATGGAGCAGAGGGAAGCGACGGACGGGAGGCTAGTTGGGAGACTGAGCTCTGTGAAGAACCTGCCAGGCAGGACGGCAGCCGCGAGGGACCTGCACGGCAACTCCAGCCGCGGCCCCCCGGTCCCCGGGCGCCAGCCTTGTGCACCGAGCAGAACCGCGGCCAGCGCCGCCAGTCCCGCTCTCCGCCAGAGCCGAATGCGCCGATCCGCCGCCCGGCCTCTCGCTGCCTCCGATAGCCCCGTCCCTGCTCCGGCCGGGCCGCCTCCTCTCCGCCTCCTCTCCCTCCTCTCTCTTCGTCTCCGTCCACTGCCCTCCTCATCCAACTCAGCCCGGGTACTGTGCCGGGTGCCGACGCCTCTCGGGCTCTCGTCGGGTGCGGGTTGGATGCGGAGGGTCGGCGAGAGCGGCGGCAGCGGGGCGGCGGTCGGAGCTCTGCACCGCGGAAGCGGCGGGGTCGGGCTAGGTGGGAGGGGTGGGGATTGGTCTCGAGGAGTTCAAGATTTACAGACCATGATCTTTTTCCGTGGCCGTCATCTCTTCCCTCTCATCTCTCTTTTGCTGGCCCGGGGAGACTCCTGAATTGTCCTCCATAGCACGCGCTTTTGAGAATGGTCGAGGGGCACGAGAGGCAGAAAATCCTCTCGGCTCACCTCCCCGGGTCAGCCTCTCCTGGCCTTTCCCGGGGAGCATCCCTGCTGGTAACAGGAGCACTTCTGCTGGTGACAAAGATAACCTGGGCTTTTGTCAGGGGATGTGGCACCAGTGCTACGTAGGCGCATTGCATGGGAGAAGCAGCATCCCCAGAGAAAGTTCGGACGTGGCTTGGCATCTCCGAACTTCTTTGGACTTCCTGGCGATGCAGCCTCTGTGAGGAGAGCTCTTCTGTGTCCCTCCTCCTGCTCCTCTCGCTCAGAGGACAAGAGAAGAGCCTGTCACACCTGAAGTGGATGTGGTGGAAGCAGCACATCTGCAGCAGGTTGAGGGGCAGAGTGCCGAGGCGGAACCGGTTGAGGAGGGCAGGGGAGGGAGAAGAAAGCAGAGGAGGGAGAGGAGGCGGACCGGCCGGAGCAGAGAGACGGGGCTGTTGGGGGCAGCGTTAGGCCGGGCGGTGGATCGGCGGATGCGGTTTTGATCCATGCATGGAAGAGTACCCCATGGAATCAAAGGGGGAAAAAAAAGAATTTAATCCAATGACCAGAAACCATTGGATCGAACATTTCTTTAATATGTCAGCTGGGGATACATGAGGTATTCTACCCAGCATAGATCAAGGATCTAGTATATATTTTGGAATATAAATACAGTGACGCTTTAAAGTCCCCACCCCCCTTCACAAGCAGTCGAGACTTAGGCTTTGATTTTGAGGTCATATTGCATCTTGGGTTTTTTCGTGGAGCAAGACTGCCATCTAGCGTCCATTTCTTCAGGGGGGGCAGTCATGTTCGGAGAGTGGTCTTCTCGCTAATCAGGCCTCGTAGCATCTCTGCTTGATCTATCTGACCTCTAACTCCTAAATTAAATGTGCAAGGACCAACTAAGACACGTGTCTTAGAACTTCCCATTTGCTTAAACAATATTTAATTGACTTTCTTCTTAACAGAACAATCTCTTATTAAAGAAGATTCCTGAGGCATGTAAGCTAATTTCTTGAAGATGGGCATACGATACACTCTCTATTCGTTTCCATGTGTTATCTACATTCTCTCTCCTAAAAATAACTGAAGTCTTAAAAGAATTGGGATATCATTTTTATCTAAGATAAAACTTCTGATGTACTAAGTCGTTTAGAAAGGAGATCCTCTCTCATTTAGTGCCATTGTGACAATATGGGGCTTCATGTAGCACCTGGATCACTGAACACTGCAGATTCCCCTGGAATCAAAGGACCATTGTGACGCTCTAGGGCCTCATGGAAGAGGGAGGTACTGCAGTCTGTCCGTACAACCGAGGTTGCCCCATCCCAGGGACAGAATCTGGCACTTTCCCTTGTTGAACTTCCTCTGGTGCATGATTGCGCAAACCTCTAATTTGAGGTCTCTCTGCAGTGCCTCCCTCTTCCATGAGGCCCTAGAGCGTCACAATGGTCCTTTGATTCCAGGGGAATCTGCAGTGTTCAGTGTTTCAGGTGTTACATGAAGCCCCATATTGTCACAATGGTACTGAAATGAGAGAGGATCTCCTTTTTAAACGACTTAGTACATCAGAAGTTTTATCTTAGATAAAAATGATATCCTAATTCTTTTAAGACTTCAGTTATTTTTAGGAGAGAGAATGTAGATAATACATGGAAAGGAACAGAGAGTGTATCGTATGCCCATCTTCAAGAAATTAGTTTACGTTCCTCAGGAATCTTCTTTAATAAGAGATTTTTCTGTTAAGAAGAAAGTCAAATAAATATTGTTTAAGTAAACGGGAAGTTCTAAGACACATATCTTAGTTGGTCCTAGAACATTTAATTTAGGAGTTAGAGGTCGGACAGGCCAAGCAGAGAAGATAAGAGGCCTGACTAGGGAGAAGACCACTCTTCGAACATGACTGCCCCCCCGTGTCTGAGCGTGTCTGTGAATGCCTGTGTGTGAGTGTTTGTGAGTGTGTGCATGTCTGAGTGTGTCTGGGTTTGCCTGAGTGTGTCAGAGTGTGTCTGAATGTGTCAGGGTGTGTGCGAGTGTGTCTCAGTGTGTCTGAGCGTACCTGAGTGCGAGGGAATGTTTTAGGGTACGTGCGGGAATGTGTCTAAATGTGTCTGAGTGTCCAAGTGTGTTTGCAGTTTTGTCTGAGCGTGTGCGAGTGTCTGAGAATACCTGTGTGTGAGTGTTTGTGAGTGTGTCTCTGTCTGAGTGTGTCTGGGTGTGCGTGTGTGTGAGTGTGTGCGAGGGTGTCTGAGTTTTTCTGGGTTTGACTGAGTGTGTCTGGGTGTGTGTGAGTGTCTCAGTGTCCGTGAGTGTGCCTGAGCATATACTTATGGGTCTGATTGTTGGTCAGTTTTTCCAGGTGTTTCTGAGTTTATGCGATTGTGTCTAAGTGTTTCTGAATGAGTCTGAGTGTGTCTGAGAGTGTGAGAGTGTGTCAGAGTGTGTCTGAGCATGAGGGAATTTTTCTGTGTTTTTGCGACTGTGTCTAAGTGTGTCTGAGGGCGCCTCTGTGTTTACAGTTTTGTCTGACGGTGTGTGAGAGTGTCTGAGTGTTTCTGTCTGAGTGGGTCTGAATGTGTGCGAATGTTTCTATGTCTGGATGTGTGGGAGTGTACTTGAGTGTGTCTGAGTGTGCCTTAGTGTGTTTGAGTGTGCACAATTGTGTCTGAGTGTGTGCGTGTCTGTCTGTGCATCTCTCAGTGTGCCGTAG